TGTGTTTAGTGTGTGTGTGAATTCGGACATTCAGGAACTGTGAAAATTGAGGAACGAGGAAAAATTTTTCATACACACACGGTAAGAAAGAACTCTTTTTTTTAGTACTTAAGGAAGAAAATGTCTACTCTGGACGAGAAGCAGACCCATATAGTGGTCCTACCCAGAGAGTCCCATATTAACAAATTTTACGGGGACGGAGACCCAACTTTAACCAACAGGTTCAGTGAAGAGGTCAAAGCGGCCTGGGCCTCGAGACATATGTCACCAGAGGAAAGATTAAGACTGCTGATGGGCAGTATAGGTGAAACGGTTAGGGCAGAGGTTAAGTGCCACGATAGGACCGTCCAATCAGATCCAGATAAGGTGCTGGATCTGATTATGGAGACCTTTGGGGAGAGACGGTCGGGAGTGCAACTGCTATCGGGATTCGTGGGCTTAAAGCAGAGAATGGCGGAGAGTGTGATGGAGTACTCACACAGGATGAACAGGGCCTTTGATTTGGTAAAGGGCAAATCACCGGACATTGATGTACGCCTACTGAGGGACCATTTCATCGAGGGGCTAGCAACCCCGATCTTAAGGAGAGAGTTAAAAGAGGAGGTCCACAGAGACCAGCAGTTGACCTTCCTTCAGGTCAGGAACTCAGCGATCCGCAGGTCCGAGGATGAGGACCAATCGAACTGTTCGGTGGATAAAGTCTCTGTGCCTGAACAGAGACAATCCCCACCCACAGGGGCCGACACGATGGAGACCATGATGGCTCAACTGTTGGCCCACCTAGAGAAGGTTGACCAACGCTTGAAGTGGTTGGAAAGCAGGTCAACAGCTGAGAATCAGGAAAAGAACGGGACAAAACAGGGACGGGTTGGACGGCCGCGTCCTGCCAAGCCATCACTCCAATGGACGGCAGACGGTCGACCAATTTGTTTGTCTTGTTCACAACCCGGACATATGGCACGGTACTGTCCGGTGAAACGATCGCCCTCTGTAAGGCAGGTCAAGGCTACAGAGCGGCGAGGTAATGACTTGGTAAACAAAATGACAAAGAAACACAGTAAGGAGAAAAAGAAAGGTAAAACACAACTAATGGAAAAAATGAACTGTGAAATGAACTTGAATGTTGAAAAGTGTCAAGTGAACAATTTGTTGGTAGAGAAAAATGATGATAAGAAGAAAATTGGTAGACTTAATAAAGGAATTCAAAGTCTAACCAGGAAACTGGATAGGAAAAGTTCATGCAAATCAAAAGCACAGGAGAAATGTTCATCTTTAAAGTGTCTGTTATCGGAAGAAGTAAATAAAAATATTAGACAACAGAACAGGGTTGGCAAACTAGAAGGAATGAAAGAGTCTCAAACAAGACTTGAAGAAAAATTATCAGATATTGAAAAAGAACTTCAAATTACAGCAAGGCTGGGATCCATCGAACAGCGATGGGCAGCAGAATTGGCACTCGTTGACCTAGAGAGAAAACATCGCCCGGGGCGGTCCAAGGTCAATGCGGACGCCTTATCAAGGAATCCTTACGAGAGACCGGGTGATGAGGAAGAAACACTGACAGGAATATGTGAGGTCAGAGCGTCAACAGATATCCCTCATGGGGTACAAGTGATGCAAAACGGGCAGACCGGGGTGGAGCACATATCCACAGAGCCCGGACTTATGGACATTGGTGATTTTAGTTGCCTTAATCACAAAGAGATAAGAAATGCCCAGAGAACGGATAGTGGCTTACAACCGCTATTGAAATACGTCCAGGAACAAAAATTCCCAGGAAGAAGGGAAAGAGAACAATTTGGTCGAGAAACAAAGAAAATACTGAGTCAGTGGAACCGTCTCAGTATAAAGGATGGTGTTCTCATGCGGAGAATTCATGACCAAATTGATGGCACAATACACCAGGTGGTGGTGCCGGGACAATTACGAGGAGAAGTGCTAAGGTTGGCACATGACAGGGCAGGACACCAGGGTCAGGACAGAACCCACAAAATATTACGACGGAGGTGTTACTGGCCCAATATGGAAATGGAGGTCAAACGCCATTGTGAGGCTTGTGTGAGGTGTCAGCATGCGAAAATGCCAGTTGTCAAAATGAGACAGCCATCAGGACACCTACTAGCGACAAAACCACTAGAGATTGTGGCTATGGACTTTACGTCGTTGGAGCAATCATCGGATGGGACGGAACATGTGTTGGTAATGACTGATGTATTCACCAAATGGACGGTGGCGGTGCCCACGCGAGATCAGACCGCCAAAACAGTGGCAAAGGTCTTAATAGAACATTGGTTCATCAAATATGGCATACCAAGACAATTACACTCTGACCAAGGAAGGGCTTTCGAGTCAGAAGTAATTAACCAACTGTGCAACCACTACGGGATCAACAAATCTAGAACAACCACATTTAATCCGAAAGGAAACGGACAGTGTGAACGGTTCAACCGCAGCATGCATGATTTGCTGCGTACGCTAGAACCTGAACAGAAAAAACGTTGGCCTGATTTTCTCCCAGAGTTGGTATATCTATACAACTGCACACCACATGCCACAACCGGCTTTTCGCCATTCATGTTGCTGTTCGGACGAGAGGCTCGACTCCCTTTTGATTTGTTCCTAGGAAAAAGGGAGAGTATGACTGGCTCATACACCGCACTGGAATATGTGAATGAACATATGAGAAGAATTAGAGAAATGTACAGGGTAGTACAGGAAAGACTAGAACATGAATCTCGGCGAAGGGAACCGCCGATACAGACGAAGGACCCGCCACTCAAACTGAATGACAGGGTATTACTGCGTAGCCACCCGTTAGGCAGAAACAAAATCCACGATCTCTGGGGACAGGAGATATGGCAAGTCGTGGAGATGCCTAAAGCAGCAGGTGGCCCCTTTAAGATAAGACCCATCGATCACGCCAAACCGGATCGGTGGGCGAATATTGCTCAATTAAAGAAATATTGGAATAGGCAAGAAGAGCAGTTACACACAGAGAAACCCAAGACAATTAGGGAACCGGAAGTTATAACGGAAATTCACATACCCATTCCGGAACCATATCACCATCAACAGAACAACAGCGATACGCAAGGGGAGGATACCGGCAACAATGAGGATCCCGGTCCCTCCAGAAGCAGAGGACAGTAGACCATCAGATAAGTGGTCCGCGGAGAAGTTTAAGGAACAGAAGGAATACGAAATTTTTTGTCAGCAACCATCAATTCTTTCATGGTCGCGCTGGTATGAAAACAGACTGTTCAAAGAGCTATAGAAGTGAACTGGTGAAGGCACCAAATGGAAAGGGTGGATGTGAATTCTAGAACTGTTTTGTGTCTCAGAAAGATGATGTAGACACAGTTGATATGTGAAATAGGTAGAACTGTCAATCGTATACGAATGGAACGTCGTGGACAGTGAGTGGAACAATAGATTTTTTTTTTTTTACGACTGTGCGATTGACTTTGGAGGAGTGCACCTGCCAGGCGTTGTTTGTGGTTGAAAACACACAAAAAAAGCAGGGGTGGATGTAACTGGGGTAGGCCTAACTACCAGTTACAAATGATAACGAACGAGAAGCCGAGACACAGTGTTGGTCTGATGCAACCGATAACAGGTGGCTTATTGGGTCGGGCTGATAACAACCTCAAAGCCGGCGCGTGCTATTTTGGGAAACGGTATTCAGACGGCCTGTCAACTTTGATGGATAGGACGCAGATGTTATTTTACGGTCTGTACGTTTGAACTACGCAACTGGTGGTCGGAGATCGAGTACAAGTATCGATTACGGAGGAATACAAGTACGGAGACGAGTACGGATACAAGGCATAAAATAGGAGGGCACGGCAGGACTCGTTCTCTCTCTTCCCGTTTCAGCGAGCTCTCTTCCATCTTCATCGCTCGCTTAGATCAGTCAGTCTGTGTGACTATGTCAAGTCGGTTATAGAACGGGTTAGCCGTATTGTGTTAAGGAGGATTATAGACATGTGGATTCAGTTATATAAAGCCTAGTGAAGGACTGTTAGGGGTCAGTTGATTCAGACTATTATTGAGAAGCATTCCTGTTGATTTATTGTGTTATTATGAAGCATTTCTTGATTCATGTAATAAAGGATCAATAGCGAACCTGCATCTTGAGTATCTATACTGTGGTCAATGTTGTCTAGAATGAGTGGTTAAACTCGTTAACACGTGGCACTACAGGCAATTAGGTCTCATTACATGTGGCGTTGCGAGCATGGTAACTGTTGGCTCGTTACAATTGGCGTTGTCGGCAGGATAAATGTTCGCTCGTCACAATTGGCGCTGCGAGCAGGGTCACATTTGGCGCTGCGAGTAGCCTAGGTCACATATATATATATATTTATGTATATATATAAATATATATACATACATATATATATATATATATATATATATATATATATATATATATATATATATATATATATATATATATATATATATATGTAAATAAATAAATAAATAAATAAATAAATAAATAAATAAATATATATATATATATATATATATATATATATATATATATATATATATATATATATATATATATATATATATTTTTATATATATATATATATATATATATATATATATATATATATATATATATATATATATATATATATATATATATATATATATATACGGCATTTCATTAACCTTAACAAATAGGCCGTCAAGTTTTTTTTTTTCAAATGTATAATTACAGAAATATGTAAAAACGACACACAACATTTCTAAGACTCAGGTGTGCAGCCCCTAGATTTTTTAGACAATTTGATTTCGATGTTTTTATACGTTTCAAATACATTATCTATACTTCGCATACAATAAAGTAGAATAAAATAACAATGCTTGACACGATGTTTTTTTAAATTAATTATTAAAATAATAGTATGCAAAATATTCGGGTATTCCCGGCGCCGCACATTAAAATTTGGTGCAATCGGAAATGAAAATGTTTGTTTTATGTCTGGCTACTAAGAAATAAGTTAGATAAACCTTTACTGTCCTATACAATGTTTGTAACTATTCAGCATTGTTTAAGTAATTGGTGCTAATAAAACAAAGTAAACTGTGAGTATTTTTCAGCTTACATAATAAAACATGACTTTTACAATACGATGACCAATCTCAAGACGGCTTAATAATTTAGACCTAGACGTAAAGAATATAAATTTTTCTGATTAGCCATAAATCTAGATCTAGATCTAGATCTCCAATTTATAAATAATTTAAATTTAAACATAATAAATAAGAAATAATAATTTGCCATTTTAAATATTAATTTTGATAAATTTGCAAATCTAAAATCTTAAGAATGTGTTAGCTTTAATTAACTTACAGAAATACACATATTTTACTCAACGAATGACAAAATTCATACATTACCTAGTTAAGGCCAGTTTTTTAAATTATTGCGCTGGGACGAAAATAAACCTTATTGTTTTGTCATTCATTTTGTTTTAGTTACCAAATCTATTTCTATTATTTTAATTCTGCTTTGTTAACAGACATACACAGTCCATTTAAGTCCAGGTTTTGATTTCGAATTTACAGGTTCTCCAATTTATGATCCAGTAGCATCTATATATATATATATATATATATATATATATATATATATATATATATATATATATATATATATATATATATATATATATATATATATATATATATTCTTACAGAAATTATGTTTTAATGTTGTTGTAAAATTTTTACGTTTGTGCCAATTACGTAAGAGGAGACCAAAATGAAAATTTAAAACTTTAAATTTAAAAATTTAAAATTTTTGCAGAAAAAGTAAAACATCATCTACAACCGCCATGTATAAAAGTATATCCACCGCTCACAATTACGACGCGCAAATGGGAAAAGAAATCTTTAAATGTTTTGAAAAAAACATGGACATATTTACTGACTTTACAGTCAACGTTGGCGACTTCCAGTTCAGTTGTCACAAGTTTGTCTTAAGTTCCTGCTCTGGTTTCTTTGAGGCTCTCCTGAGGACAGATATGAGAGAAAAATATGAATCAAGCTGTACCATAGAAGGCATCTCACCAGAAATATTTGGTCTTATACTAGATGTTATTTACAAAGGAACTGATGTTTTAGATGAAGAAAACATGGTTGAAATGTGGCATGCATCAAATCAACTGCAGATTGAATTTTTAGTTTCGTCTTGTCAGAAATTCGTAAATGAAAACATAACGTTGCAAAACTACTGGAGCATTTATGAAGCAGCAAAGCTTTTAAATTCGTTTGGTGTATTAACCAAAGTAAAAAAGTTAATCGTGAACAATTATCCAAATGTTGTAGGATCCGACGACTTCATGGAAATTCCTTTCGAAGAGTTCAAAGACCTTTTAAAACACTTTCGTATTGTCGGAGATTTTGTCGTAAATTCAGTTTTAAAATGGGCGTATTCGGATGACTCGTACCTCACACCTGAGCCAGAAAAATGTATCGGTTTATTGCGTGTGGACATTGGACTTCATAATGCACTTTGTAAGAAGGTGGACGTTGGAACAGAAGAAGATGAGAAAATGTCACTTCGTAGGTTGTACCTTGGTCAGCTGTTTTCAGCTATTTCACTCAAAGACATCAGCACCGCGTGCCTGTCCAACCTTTTGAACAACACATTTGTAATAGACAATAAAGACGCCATCACACTGGTGAACAAACAGGCCGCTTCCAGGCTAGAATTCACAAAACCTGCTCTGTTTAAAAATTACAGAACAGCCACTGCCATCAAGACACCTCCCCCACCGGCGAGGAAAGTTTCTGCGAACAAAGAAAACCCGGTGAATCGTGTCTCGCTATACTTTGACATTCCTCTTACGTTTCAATATATTTTAATTCTTTTATTCGCAGCCTTCTTGTTTACCCTTTTGTTATTCTCAGGTTGTTAACAAAAAAAAGTAACCCTAGTACTAAGTACTAGTACATTGTATTATTTTTTTTTAAATATTGAATGTCTCGATACTGTAGCAAACATCAACAAGGGCCAACAAAATTTCTTTGCCTCACCAAAGTTTTGAATTAGACTTCATTCTACTTAAAAATCATTCGATTGGATAAAATGCTTTAATTGATTGAAAAAAATCTTGATGGTTTAATATATAGATTTTCAATGCTTGATTATGTATATACAGGCTTGGTAAAGTCTGATTCCGTCACTTGTGAGTGTTGATAAATGGCTCCGCTTAGAGCTACCGCCACATAAACAATTAACACAATTAATAATGATTGTCATGCTGTCCTTCGTTCTTTACCTGGACACACGAAGTAAATGTGCATGCAGAAATTATATGTTTAATTTCAACACATTTCAGCTCTATGCGTTGTGGTTATTTATTTTATTTCATTAAATGCTTTATACAAGATTGTCTAAAAGCTGAAGTGTTAAAACATATTATTTACACCCGTAAATTATCGACTTTCTAACAATATAAATACTGTGTCAATGAATACTTTAATTTTTGTTTGTTTATAATTTTCAAAATGTAAAACCTTATGTAAAATTCTGAAATTAGATAATTGATAGATATAAAGCAAAACTTGATTGACGTAGAAATGAGCAAATTCATGTGTTATATACCTCATCTAATCTATGCTTGAGTAAATGAAAATCATGACATCAAACATTCACACTGTAAAAATGTGTATTATTATGAGACTTTATATCTCAAATATGTTTGTAGAGACCATCAGATAACGTTTCATGTATCCTAGCTTTGGAGAGAAACAATAATGTGATATAATATATATATATATATATATATATATATATATATATATATATATATATATATATATATATATATATATATATATATTTATATATAAATATATTTCTTTTTCGATTTCTATATCAGCCATATACATATTGTTTTTTAGTCCGTAGTAAAAAAAATTAAAAATGTATTGAAGAGTGTGCTTTGTGATGACTTAATAAAACATTCTGGATTCAGTAAGCAACATTGCATAAACATATTACACGTTTTTATCGTTCTTTGCCTTTTTCATTTAGAATGCTATAAAGTTATACAAGAAATAAAATTTTTAATTTTATCCAGCCGAAAAATGAATGTAAATTTATTTTCACCAAATATATTTCAATCCATGTAGGTCAATGCCGCAAAAAATCTAACAAATGTATATGAAATAAATGCGTTCAATTTATACATGCATTAAATCCAAAGAAAATTATTTTATTAACTAACACCGGCTTTTAGAAAAACAAGGTTGTCTGGTAAATTTAATAATGCAAATGCATGACTTGGACTGTTAATTATTATTATTTCGACTTGTAGTTTTAAAATTATAGAGTGTGATTGTCTAAACGATACATTAGCGCATAATAAACAAGATCCCATTGATTTCCAGCTAAACAAAGCCTTATCTTAAATGACTGTTTTATTCCCTGTAACTGAGGTATTGCTCCTTGATGATTGGTTATGTTTTTTGAATGTTATTTCCCAATCGTACTTAGAGTATTTTCTTTTTTTGGAAATTAAGAGATTTTGTTTTGTTGAAAACTTCTGAAAGAAAGTACTTTTCTGGTTTAATTTTGTGGATTGTAAAATTTTTTGTTTATTTTTTTAAATTTATTTTAATTTTTGTTTTGGCAGCAACAACAACAGTTGGACTTTTGGAGCCATTATTTTTCAGCAACATTTAAATATGTTTTGCTTGCGTCTAGGGATGAAAAACACAATTTTTATATATTTTTCATATTAAGATACCAAGGGCTGTTTCCTCTATCAATTTACTGTGTGATCATTTCTGTTCCAAATATTTTCCCTTAAGATCCCTTTGATACACACGAATAAATATTAACTGTCTTATTAATACGGCTTTAATTTTTACAAATGTAACTATACTCTTATTGCTTGCCATATTTTTATAAATATGTTTAAAAAAATTAATATTATTACATAGACTTTACATGCCCGTTGTGTCAAAACATCCACAACAAACACACATACATCTGTAGATGTAAAACAAAGCGCGAGTGATCTCTCCTAAATTTTCTCGCACATACATATATAAAAGTAAATTAGGATTACACAGTTGCATTGACCAACGGAAATATAGATTTAAGAAATAACAGGCTGCACTGTATAAGTATGTGGTTAAAAACCGGAAGAAGAATAAGCACCACCAACTGGACATGATATATTGTATAAATAGGCTATATATATATACATATATATATATATATATATATATATATATATATATATATATATATATATATATATATATATATATATATATATATATATATATATATATATATATATATATATATATATATATATATATATATATATATATATATATATATATATATATATATATATATATATATTTTTCCGGTTATCGGAAATCGCTATAAAGTTGAAACTGATATACGACTTTGATAAAATACTTATATATGATATTTCCTCAATCTAGCTGTAACGGTACTCAAGTTATCGTGTTTAAAGACACACACACACACACACACACAGAGACACACATACACACACAGAGGCATACGGACAAGATTGCAAAATTATGTTTTTCCGTATCACTGAGGTGTAAAACGTCGAGATTTGTAAAAATCTTGATTTTTCTTTTGCACGATTACAGGACTTTCTCTATTCTTCGTATATTCGAGAAAGTAAAACAAGGCATTTTCCTAATTTAATTCTTAAAACTTCAAAACGTGTTCGTAATAAGCAACTGAAGATTTTTTTAGGCCTCATGAAATTACAATTTGCAACGCCACAAATTATTCTGTCAGGCTGACGAATTCCTAGCGACGGATACGTAAGGGTCACATACATTTACCAATAAAGTAACAGCACAGCACACAACACATCTTAGTCTACTAAATCTTAGTCTACAATATTGATCCAAAAAGCTCGAGACATCTATATAATATTTCAACGGAAAAATGTGTCTAGGACTGAAGTTATTTAGGAAAGCTAAATTTAGAATTATTACCCTCTTCTTGGATAATCATTTTGCTATGTTTGAGGATTGGATATTTGGGTTTCTGCTTTAAAATGTTCATTTAAAAAAACAACCTCAGACCTTAAGAGAGTTTTGTTATACTCAAATATATAGAGCTACAGTGTTTCGAACTTACGAAGATTCGTCGTTCACTACCACAAGTATTGAGATGGGCAGTGTCTTGTACTATCAGTGAACTATTACGTGTCTATTGTTGTAGATTTACGGGTTCTTCATTGTAACTGTGAAGTTTAATTCTTTTGTGGGGACGAAGGAACTTGTATTTTTGTATTCTTATTCACCTGCATTTAGTCTTAAGTACTATTATCTTCTTTTCTAGTTCGTGCCCAAGACTCACAGGAGAGATGATAGTGTTTTTCTGAAGCTCAGCTTATGAAAGGCTAATGTATAGTTTGAGTAAACCCTACAGAGCAGTAGTGTTTGACTCCCCTCTATAGAGCAGTATAGTCTGAGTAAACCCTATTGAGAAGTATAGTTTGAGTAAACCATTAAAAAGCAGTATAGTTTGAGTAAAACCTACAAAGCAGTAGTTTGACCACTCTATAGAGCAGTAGTGTTTAAGTAAACCTTATAGAGCAGTATAGTTTCACTTCACTCTATAAGCAGTAGTGTTTGAATAAATCCTATAGAGCAGTAGTGTTTGACTCCACTCTATAGAGCAGTAGTGTTTGACTCCACTCTATTGAGCAGTAGTGTTTGACTCCACTCTATAAAGCAGTAGTGTTTGACTCCACTCTATAGAGCAGTAGTGTTTGACTCCACTCTATAGAGCAGTAGTGTTTGACTCCACTCTATTGAGCAGTAGTGTTTGACTCCACTCTATAGAGCACTAGTGTTTGACTCCACTCTATAGAGCAGTAGTGTTTGACTCCACTCTATTGAGCAGTAGTGTTTGACTCCACTCTATAAAGCAGTAGGGTTTGACTCCACTCTATAGAGCAGTAGTGTTTGACTCCACTCTATAGATCAGTAGTGTTTGACTCCACTCTATTGAGCAGTAGTGTTTGACTCCACTCTATAAAGCAGTAGTGTTTGACTCCACTCTATTGAGCAGTAGTGTTTGACTCCACTCTATAGAGCAGTAGTGTTTGACTCCACTCTATAGAGCAGTAGTGTTTGACTCCACTCTATAGAGCAGTAGTGTTTGTCTCCACTGTATAGAGCAGTAGTGTTTGACTCCACTATATAGAGCAATAGTGTTTGACTTCACTCTATAGAGCAGTAGTGTTTGACCCCACTCTATAGAGCAGTAACTGCTAAACCCTAAATAGCAGTGGTTTCAAAACGAATGCCACCTACCGTTACATGATTGTCCTTAAGGAAGATGTGTAGGATTTATCCATCTGTGAAAGTGTGGTTCTATCTTAGTGTTTTATAATGTAAATGTTATAAACACATCAGGTTTGAAGGTTGGTTTGTAATTCAGGTCACAACCGCTGATCCACACCGTCGCATTTTGCTTATCATACTGTAAATAAATTGTACCAAGTTAGCAAGAAAAGATTTGTTATTTAGTCATTGTAGACCCGTTTGTATACACAACAATGTGAGCACGTATTCTACGTTCAACACATTTTGAGCTGTGTTTTAATAAGGTCTTAATCTGATAATTCTCTATCATCGGGGATTCCCTATTCAGCGTTCTTTTTTTTAGTGCATTCTCAGTTGAACGTGACTATTTTATTATCAATGGCGGCAAACTAAAAACTAATGTCAACTGTATACTTAATTTATCTTGTTTTTGAACTTTGTATAAAGAAGGTACAAGTATAAAATAGTATAATTTTTCACAGAAATAAATCATTTTGTTAATAGAAATTGAGTTAAAAGTGTGTGTCGTTAAGCATGGACTTACAGTTTTTTTTATATCAATGGTATTCTAAAG